CTACCTGGTTGTATTTCTTTGTAGATGTGTGTGTGTGAGCGTGCATTATCTTCTTTTTGTCTTTTTTTCTTTTTTTCTTTTTTCGTTCTTGTTTATTTGCCATGCTTTCATTTATCCTCCCTCCGTACACCTTTTTTTCCTCTCATCTCATCTCCTTGTGTCTTTTTATCTGCCCACCATCACTGCCACCACCTCAACACCCCCACCGAGTTATCTTAGCCTTTTAATTAACGTGACATGCTGTGAAGTGAGATACTAAATAATGCAGGCTTTTCCAGTGACACCGAATCAGCTGGAGTGATTAGCTGCCACACACACACACACACACACACACACACACACACACACACACAGACTCACACACAAACACCAAAGTGACCCCCTTCTGCAATAGTCACCTATAGGACTCTTAAAGGGGGGGCATTATGCAAAATCAGCTTTTTTGAGCTTTATATTATGTTGTATGTCATTCCCTTGTCAAACACATGCCCAGAGTTTTGATTTGATTCATTCATGCATATTTGAGAAATCTTGTGGAGCTGCCTAAATACTTGCTGGTACAAACCACTGCCTGTTTACACAAAGCTCCTCCCTGGAGCTCTGTCTGCAGCCGAGCCCCCGTCCCCAAAGCATTGTTGTGAAGATGTGCTGAAGTGTGAGTGTCTGAAATGGTAGGAGGTTCTTAAAGAGAAAGAGGCTAATTTCAAGGCACAGATGAGGCAAAGTCAAATTTATTTTTGATATAAACAGCATTTTCGTAACAACTGAAAGTGACATAGTTACTTGACTGTGGTTTAGAATTGAACCATGTGCTTGGAAATAAAATGCAATATCTCTAAAGCTGACTGAGTCATAACCTTTTATTTCTGTTTTTGGTTTCTAAGGTTGGTCGATTGTGGTGGCCATTTTGAATTGGGTTTGCTCCAAAAGTAAAACATTTGCAGATGAACATCCAATGATTATTTCCTGAAAGTTTTATTAAAATCTGTCCAGTGGAAGATATATTGGTAATAGACATACACACATACAGAGGCATGATGACGAACTTAATCATCCTCCTTTGCCTTTCAACGGCAAGCAATAATGAATGGATGGATTTAAGAGGGCCACCGCAGCTAATCCATTTTAGCAAACACACAAGCTTAGTCAGTTTTTAAGATACTGCACTACAGTGTGGTAGTAGCTGAAAGACATTTCCAACATATATTCTGGGCAGATCATGCAATAACTTGCAACATAGCCTGAAATCACCCATTATATTATTTTCAAGCTTTGTATTGCTTTAAGAAATCTTTAAATGCTGAGGCCGTCTTTGCTGAATCTTCTTTTAATTCAAACATTCTGAATGATGTGCAGTTCAGCTGATTAGATTAGCCATCACAATACTGAGGAGGAATTTTCTCAATAATGTGATTCATATTCATGTAAAGTTATTGTAATTTCCAGTTTGTTGCTGGTGCATGCACCAAGCTTCTAATTTCCCATTGTTTCATGCAGCAGCGCTCAGTTCTGCTGTCTTCTGTTCTGTAGCATAAATCAGTGCACAGGACTTAATTTCTGCAGGGAGGGATCCAAGTTATCCCAAAGCAATTGTTTTGGACTAAACCAAGTGGAAAATCCAGTGTGGGTTTAGTTGTTTGCTGCCTCGGTTGCAGGGATGTTATGAGCTCTGAGCTCCAGTGTCCGTCCACCCCTACCTCTTCGCCTTTTTTAATCAGATGGCTTGTTCAGGAGTGGAGCGGATTAAGACTGCTGCTGCTGCTGCTGGTGCTACTGATGATGATGATGAATGTGTTCAATTCTGAACATATACATATATACAGTACATACCGGTACTCACACAGGATGATTTTACCTCATATGGTTGTGAACACTAGAGTAATCGGTGTACTAAAACATCTAACTGGATTCTGATCTTGAAACAAAAAGATGTATTTTTTTGAATAATTGTGTCAAAAGCCTTCAGTTTTCTTTGATTGCAGGGTGTCTTAACAGAAGCTATAATTACAGAAACTGTGGGAAAAGCATTGAAATATATATATA